TGGTTTTCATGGTTAAAAACATATATAAAATTGTTTTTAATTAAAATGAGATAAATTATTATTTATTTATTTGGTAAAAATAAATCATTAATTTGGGTTGTCAATTAATATAATTGTTGAGCTCTATTTTATAACCCATTAATTGAAGTTCGAAATTTCCGTAAAGTCGGGTTGGTTTTGGCCTTCTCGGCACTTTACGGCGAGTATTGCTTGCGGTCAAGAGTTTGGTTAAGATTTAATTTAAATTATGACAAATGATGAACTCGTTTGTATATCTTTTTTTCCTATTTTTTCACACTTTTACATCAATTATTATGAATTTTTATTCAGTTTGAACTCCCCTTAAAACACTGTTCACAAGGGTTTGTAGGGTCTCAAAAATCCAAACGACGATGGACCATCGTCAAAGCGGGCGATCATGAGCGTTTACGTATTTTTCATATTTTTCACACTTGTAAATCAATTATTATGAATTTATATTGTGTTTTTATATTTTTAAATTGCTTTGGTATGTTTAATGTGCTTTGGAATTTCTTATCCTTTCTTACGTAAGATTAAATACTATGGCTATTGTAGTAAGGGTTTTTAGTATTTTTAAGTTATCAAACTAACATTTTTCTTATCGGTTGTAATGGGTCACCTGCGGGTAAATACTATGTGAGATTAATGGGTTTCTAACGTGTGACCCGATAATGACCCGAAACTCGTTATTTCATGTCGTTTTAGATCAAATTAACATGCCATGTAAGAATTGTTAGGTCTAGACTCCAGTTTGGACCCTTCTTTTCTTTCACACATAATATGTCTTCTTGACTACTCGTACATCACACAAAACGCTTATTTCAATGAACTTCATTGGAGTTGTTTTATTTCGTAGGTTATTAAATGTCTCTCATGACTTTTCTTTGGGGATGAAGTTGAACCATCACTGCCTGAAATTAGTTTTGGGGATGTACTATCATTTTGTCTTTTATCTCTCGACTGACTTGTAAATTTTTCCACAACAACTTTGCCTACCGTCTTTGTGGCGCTGGATGTAGAAGAATGAAGTTCCTTTCCTACATTTCAAAGGTTGAACAAAATCTCCTCCAATTATATTTTTTACTGGAAAAAAAAAAACCATCTTAAGACATAAAAAGAAATATGACCTATAGAATATTATTCCTAGTGAGATATATAATTATATATGCAAATGGTGGATTGTCTTGATGGGTAGGGCCTTTCACTTTGATCAACAAAGAGTAGGTTCTCTTTTCACGGATACATAATTTGTCTTCTAGATCACTACTCATTCATCGCACGTGTATTTCAAAGAACCTTATCGAAGTTGTTGTATTTCTGAGGTTACTAAGCGCCTCTCGAATTACCATCCGCTATGTAAGGAATCTGGATATATTCCAGAGAATCTTATTGAAGTTTTTGTCTCATTTGTTATGGATTGGATCAAGGTATGTTCTTCAATGAAATATTAGAAACAGAGTTATTGTTTGGGTTTCTTAGCCCACTCAAGTAGACCAAGTGTCGCTATCTGCATGCCTGATTGCAACCACATGACTTTTCTTTGGGGATAAATTTTGAACCATCACTGTCTGTAATTTGTTTTGGGGATGGACCATCACTTCTGTCTTATTTCTGTTTGACGACTTTGTCAAACGTCTTTGTGGGGTTGGATGTAGAAAAAGGAAGCTCTTCATAAGATTCCAAGGCTGAGCTAAAACTTCTCCTCCAATTATATGTTTCATTGGAAGAAAAGAACCAGCTTAAGAACAAAAAATAAAAAAATAAAAAAAATAAAAAAATCCAAGAGCTATTGAATATTATGTAAGACTAATGTTGAGTTGTCAATTATTGTTATGAATCGAATTATGAAAATTGATTATTATGCTTCCGCAATTTGCGTTGGTGTTCAATGGTTTTCATGGTTAAAAACATATATAAAATTGTTTTTAATTAAAATGAGATAAATTATTATTTATTTATTTGGTAAAAATAAATCATTAATTTGGGTTGTCAATTAATATAATTGTTGAGCTCTATTTTATAACCCATTAATTGAAGTTCGAAACTTCCGTTAAGTCGGGTTGGTTTTGGCCTTCTCGGCACTTTCCGGCGAGTATTGCTTGCGGTCAAGAGTTTGGTTAAGATTTAATTTAAATTGTGACAAATGATGAACTCGTTTGTATATCTTTTTTTCCTATTTTTTTCACACTTTTACATCAATTATTATGAATTTTTATTCAGTTTGAACTCCCCTTAAAATGCTGTTCACAAGGGTTTGTAGGGTCTCAAAAATCCAAACGACGATGGACCATCGTCAAAGCGTGCGATCATGAGCGTTTACATATTTTTCACATTTTTCACACTTGTAAATCAATTATTATGAATTTATAATGTGTTTTTATATTTTTAAATTGCTTTGGTATGTTTAATGTGCTTTGGAATTTCGTATCCTTTCTTACGTAAGATTAAATACTATGGCTATTGTAGTAAGGGTTTTCAGTATTTTTAAGTTATCAAGCTAACATTTTTCTTATCGGTTGTAACGGGTCACCTGCGGGTAAATACTATGTGAGATTAATGGGTTTCTAACGTGTGACCCGATAATGACTCGAAACTCGTTATTTCGTGTCGTTTTTGATGAAATTAACAGGCGATGTAAGAATTGTTAGGTCTAGACTCCAGTTTGGACCCTTCTTTTCTTTCACACATAATATGTCTTCTAGAATACTCGTACATCACACAAAACGCTTATTTCAATGAACTTCATTGGAGTTGTTTTATTTCGTCGGTTATTAAATGTCTCTCATGACTTTTCTTTGGGGATGAAGTTGAACCATCACTGCCTGAAATTAGTTTTGGGGATGTACTATCATTTTGTCTTTTATCTCTCGACTGACTTGTAAATTTTTCCACAACAACTTTGCCTACCGTCTTTGTGGCGCTGGATGTAGAAGAATGAAGTTCCTTTCCTACATTTCAAAGGTTGAACAAAATCTCCTCCAATTATATTTTTTACTGGAAAAAAAAAAAAACCATCTTAAGACATAAAAAGAAATATGACCTATAGAATATTATTCCTAGTGAGATATATAATTATATATGCAAGTGGTGGATTGTCTTGATGGGTAGGGCCTTTCACTTTGATCAACAAAGAGTAGGTTCTCTTTTCACGGATACATAATTTGTCTTCTAGATCACTACTCATTCATCGCACGTGTATTTCAAAGAACCTTATCGAAGTTGTTGTATTTCTGAGGTTACTAAGCGCCTCTCGAATTACCATCCGCTATGTAAGGAATCTGGATGTATTCCAGAGAATCTTATTGAAGTTTTTGTCTCATTTGTTATGGATTGGATCAAGGTATGTTCTTCAATGAAATATTAGAAACAGAGTTATTGTTTGGGTTTCTTAGCCCACTCAAGTAGAACAAGTGTTGCTATCTGCATGCCTGATTGCAACCACATGACTTTTCTTTGGGGATAAAGTTTGAACCATCACTGTCTGTAATTTGTTTTGGGGATGGACCATCACTTTTGTCTTATTTCTGTTTGACGACTTTGTCAAACGTCTTTGTGGGGTTGCATGTAGAAAAAGGAAGCTCTTCATAAGATTCCAAGGCTGAGCTAAAACTTCTCCTCCAATTATATGTTTCATTGGAAGAAAAGAACCAGCTTAAGAACAAAAAATAAAAAAATAAAAAAAATAAAAAAATCCAAGAGCTATTGAATATTATGTAAGACTATTGTTGAGTTGTCAATTATTGTTATGAATCGAATTATGAAAATTGATTATTATGCTTCCGCAATTTGCGTTGGTGTTCAATGGTTTTCATGGTTAAAAACATATATAAAATTGTTTTTAATTAAAATGAGATAAATTATTATTTATTTATTTGGTAAAAATAAATCATTAATTTGGGTTGTCAATTAATATAATTGTTGAGCTCTATTTTATAACCCATTAATTGAAGTTCGAAATTTCCGTTAAGTCGGGTTGGTTTTGGCCTTCTCGGCACTTTCCGGCGAGTATTGCTTGCGGTCAAGAGTTTGGTTAAGATTTAATTTAAATTGTGACAAATGATGAACTCGTTTGTATATCTTTTTTTCCTATTTTTTTTCACACTTTTACATCAATTATTATGAATTTTTATTTAGTTTGAACTCCCCTTAAAACGCTGTTCACAAGGGTTTGTAGGGTCTCAAAAATCCAAACGACGATGGACCGTCGTCAAAGCGTGCGATCATGAGCGTTTACATATTTTTCACATTTTTCACACTTGTAAATCAATTATTATGAATTTATAATGTGTTTTTATATTTTTAAATTGCTTTGGTATGTTTAATGTGCTTTGGAATTTCTTATCCTTTCTTACGTAAGATTGAATACTATGGCTATTGTAGTAAGGGTTTTTAGTATTTTTAAGTTATCAAACTAACATTTTTCTTATTGGTTGTAACGGGTCACCTGTGGGTAAATACTATGTGAGATTAATGGGTTTCTAACGTGTGACCCGATAATGACCCGAAACTCGTTATTTCGTGTCGTTTTAGATCAAATTAATAGGCCATGAAAGAATTGTTAGGTCTAGACTCCAGTTTGGACCCTTCTTTTCTTTGACACATAATATGTCTTCTAGACTACTCGTACATCACACAAAACGCTTATTTCAATGAATTTCTTTGGAGTTGTTTTATGTCACAGGTTATTAAATGTCTCTCATGACTTTTCTTTGGAGATGAAGTTGAACCATCACTGCCTGGAATTAGTTTTCGGGATGTACCATCATTATGTCTTTTATCCCTCGACTGACTTATAAATTTTTCCACAACGACTTTGTCTACCGTCTTTGTGGTGGTGGATGTAGAAAAATGATTGCAATTTGTTGGCAGATTCAACCAGTTATGCTATTTTTGATTGGACATGTACTCTTTACTATTGTGTGTATATATAGCACTCTAAATTACTTGTTCTTCACATCCATCACCTACTTGATATCTATATGGCAAGTGTCATGAGAGTTGTTTCACCAATCAGCTTTCTTCTATGCATTGCATGTATTACTGTTAGCTTATGCAATGGAAACCTAAATGTACCTTGCAAAGAAAATGAGAGACAAGCACTTCTTCTGTTCAAGAAAGATCTTACTGATTCTTCAAATATGCTTTCCTCTTGGGTTGGTGAAGGTGATTGTTGCAACTGGACTGGTGTTGCTTGTGATAATTTAACCGGTCATGTCCATGAGCTCCACCTTGCTAGTTATCAGGATCCAGTGACTGGGGTGATGCATATGTTGGGTGGTAAGGTAAATCCCTCTCTACTCAATTTAACGCATCTCAGCTACTTGGACGTAAGCTTCAATAATTTTAAAGGACTGCAGATCCCTGGCTTTCTAGGTTCTCTTAAAGGTTTAAGACATCTTGACCTCTCAAATGCAGGGTTTGAGGGAACCATTCCTCCTCAGTTGGGAAATCTCTCTAGTCTGCATTATCTCGACCTTTCTGAAAACTCTGGTTTGATGGTAGAGACTCTCAAGTGGATCTCTGGTCTTTCTCTGTTGAAACATCTTGACATGAGTTCTATAGATCTTACTAATGCATCTCATTGGTTACAAATAAACACATTCCCTTCTCTTTTGGTCGAGTTACATTTGTCTGCCTGCAATCTTTATCACATGCCAAGAGGTGTTGCAAACTTGACAATTCTTAAAGTTCTTGATCTAGATCGGAACCAATTCAACTCTACCATACCGAAATGGTTGTACAGTTTAAGCCATCTCGAGTCCCTTAATCTTTTTTACAATGCTTTCCACGGTGAAATTTCGAATTCCCTTGGAAACTTGACATCCCTTGTTGATCTTAGTTTAGGTTGGAATCAGCTTGAAGGGGAAATTCCAAACTCATTGGGAAATCTTTGTAAGTTGACTTCTGTTGATTTGTCTTTGAACAATTTTAGGGGGAGGGTATCAGAAATCTTTGAAAGTTTGTCTCGGTGCAATCCTGGTCAAATAGATTATTTAGATTTTTCAAATAATAATCTTTCAGGTCCCATTCCAGTGTCCTTAGGAAATCTATCATGCTTAGAGGAATTGATCATTCATAACAATTCATTAGAGGGTGTTGTCTCTGAAGTTCATTTTACTAATCTTACCAGATTATCTAACTTTTATGCAGATGAGAACTCCTTGACTCTTAAAACCAGCCCAGATTGGCTTCCTCCTTTTCAACTTTCTATCTTGAGATTAGGTTCTTGGTGTCTTGAACCATCAGAGTTGCCTGCATGGCTTAAGAGTCAAAAACATTTGTCTGTTCTTAACATGTCCAATACAGGAATTTCAGGTACCATTCCGACTTGGTTTTGGGACATTTTTTCGCTTCATTCAGTAAGCTCTGTGGATCTCTCACGTAATCAGTTGTCTGGAGAGGTTCCAAACATAGTTTCTGCCAACTGGCCAAAACAAAAGCATTTCAATGTTCACTTTTCAGAAATCAAAATTGACTTAAGGTCTAACCAGTTCAACGGTTCATTGCCTCTTGTGTCTTCGACAGTGACTACACTAGATCTTTCCAATTCATCATTTTCGGGAACTCTCTCTCTCTTCTTTTGTGATAGGAGTGATGTACCTAAAAACCTTCAAGTTCTTTATCTTGACAACAATCTCCTCAATGGAGAAATTCCTGATTGTTGGTTGCACTATCCAAACTTGAACGCTGTGAATTTAGAAGACAACAATTTGACAGGGAAAATTCCAAGCTCTATTGGAGACTTACTTTCGCTTGAATCATTGCACTTGCGCAATAATAACTTATCTGGAGAATTACCCGTGTCCCTACAAAACTGTGAGAAGTTGTTACTTCTTGACCTTGGTGGAAACCAGTTTGTTGGAAGCATTCCAATATGGTTTGGCCGAAGCTTGGTAGTTCTTAGTCTTCGTTCAAATAAGTTAGATGGCGGCATTCCTGAAGAACTCTGTAGTCTCACAAATCTCCAAATCTTGGACCTTGCACATAACAATCTATCAGGAACGATACCAAGATGTTTCCAAAATTTTTCATCTATGGCCACTACCTTTTCAAGCGAAGTAGTTCCCAATACTCTGTTCTTTGTGGAGTCCTACACAGAGAATGCAATTTTTGTGACCAAAGGCAGAGAAGTGAAATATAACACAATGCTTCGTTTGGTAGCTAGTTTGGACCTTTCAAGCAACATGTTATTTGGAAAAATACCTGAAGAGCTGACTAGCCTCATTAGTTTACAAACGTTGAATTTATCCTATAATCTTCTTATCGGAAAAATCCCTTCCAGAATTGGTGATATGAGAATGTTAGAATCACTTGATTTGTCTATGAACCAACTTAGTGGCGAAATTTCTTCAAGCATCTCGAATTTGACATTTCTCAATTATCTGAATTTGTCCTATAACAATCTGATAGGGCAGATTCCAACAAGCACTCAGCTTCAGAGCTTTGATCAGTCTAGTTATGTTGGCAATAAACTTTGTGGACCTCCATTGGAAGAGCGTTGCAGTGCAAATGAGGCCATGCCACCCGTAGGTGATGAGAAGCACGGAGGAAGTCTTTTTCTTGAAGATGGTGGGTTCTATATGAGCTTGGGGCTTGGGTTTGCATTCGGTTTTTGGATTGTTCTTGGATTACTGCTATCTAATGTGCCATGGAGCAATGCATTTTCTCGGTTCCAAAATCGCATGGTGATGAAGCTCTATGCTGCAATCGTTGAACTTTATTAAATAATTTATGCAGATTGAGCGAGTTTGTGTGGTTTGTTACTACTTTTCTGCTATACATATATATACACATATATAGAATTTTACACCGTTGTATTATTTTTTACTTTTTATTTTGTTATCTTTTCCTATGTTTTTATTTTTCCAATATAATATTGTAAGACTTGCCTTGTTGAATCTCAATCTTGACAAAAACATGTGTTCTAAAACCATCTCCAACCCATGAGATAAACATTGAAATGTGATATCAACGATTCGAACCGTTCATTTTTTCTGCATCTATGATGTGAGAATTATACGCACACAAATTAACCCTCTTTTTATCAGTTGTAGTAAGTATGTAAGTAGGGATCGTTCTGGACCGGGGATTAGGAGGGATTGTTAATCACTTAGATTTGACTCAAAAACGTAAAAAAAAACACAATATAAGACACCAAACTAGACCCAAAGAATGCAAAACTAAAGTTAAAACACTAAGACAAACCAAAAGACTCAAAACAGCAAGAAAACACTCAAAATTGCCTTAAAACTACTTTCTGAGCAGTTTTAAGCACTAGAGAAGAATTTGGATGAAATAGTTATAACTTGACTCAAGATACTCTAAAAACACAAACTAAATTGATTTCTAACTAATTTGACACTACAACTAAAGGGGGATTTTGATTTTGACGAATTTGGAAACAAAACTTAATACTTTGTAAAACGAACAGATTTTAAAACGAGTTTGGATTTAATGAATGGAATGAAAGCTAACTAAGGGGTTCATCTCCACACATGCCATACTTGCACACAAAACGATTTCTAATTGCTTTTCAATAACCCATGAATTCTCAACGCCCCAGATTAACTGTGAATTGCACTAATTAACCCTCAGATTTTCCTAACGTTATTGAATTGGATGATTGCATACGACAACCCAAAGCATTCCCCACAAGTTCCCTACATGAATTGCATAATAGAGATACAAGCAAGAATCATTAAGTTCTTTGAAAACCATAAGCATTGACGAAGCCTTCGTTACTATGAATTGCATGAAACTTATACTACTTGTGAATATAAGTTTGTAACGATTAGGAGAAACTTCCTTATATCCTAGCATTAGATTTACGCATGATAATTAAGTGTGCACTCTCAACCAACACACACAAATCAATGTAATTCACATAGATAAGTAAATTGAATTCACAACTTATGAAACGCAATTAGAAGTAATCAAATCATATCGCAAGCATAAACATGTATTTCGAATCCCCCCCTAGCCAAGGGGGGTTTAGTTCCTCATACGTACAAGACAAAGATAAGTAAATCTAATCATTGAAATCAAGGAGAGAAAACACCTAAAAATTCCAACAACTCAAACTTGAATTGTATGAACGTTTAGGCCCTCTTCTCCTCCTCTTTGTTGCGGCACAAGGTCTAAGGATAGGTTTTAGGGTGGTATTTGAATGGAGGAATGGATGTGTGATGGTAGGATAGTGTTTTGGAGGATGGGGGGTGCTGGAAAATTGAAGGGGATGCACGGCACAAGGGGAGAATGGTGCTGGAATGTGTATGAAATGGTAGTGTTTTGCAAGGCTAAGCTTGTTGTGTTTTGTGTATGAATGCATGGGTTTTTATAGGGGGAATGAGAGAATATGTGGCTGATTGTTTAAGAGTGCATGTGGCTCTTATGATTGAGAGTGCATGTGGCTGAAATAATGATGGAAAAACAGCTAGGAAAAGAATGATTAAAGAGGGAATGCATGTGGAAGTGTGGCTGCAATGAAGGAGAAAAGCTGGAAATGTTGAATGGGAGTGCACGGCAAAGGGATGTTCTAGGTGATGGGTGCATGTGGCTGAATTATTTGTTGGGAAGGCATGTGAGTGAATGATTAAAGAGTGAATGGTGGCTGCAATAATGAAGGGGGAAAGCTGGAATTGCAAGGGGGAAAGCTGGAAATGAATGGTTATGCACGGCAAGGTTGTGTAATAATGTTATGGTGGCTGCTAGGGTGAATTAGGGTGAAATAAAATATGAATGAAAGTGAATAAATCAGAATAGGGCTGCAATGGTTAAAGGGCTAGGGTTTAAGTGCATAAAATGGACCCAAAATGCTCCCCCTTGCACGGCAAGGGAAGGGAAATAGGGTTAAGCTCACGGCAAGGTTGTGTAATTGGGCTAGGGCCATTGTTTTGTGTCCTAAAGTGCCTACAAGGCCTTCAATTTTGTCCAACACTTTGGCTCCAAGCATAAGCTATCCATCCTTAGCCCAAAAGTGCTCCAAAAGGCTCCAAAATGCACTTCTTTGCTCCTTTAGCCCTTAGAACCTGAAAACATACGAAAATAACTTAAAAGACTTAAAGAACTAAGAAATAACAACGTAAATGCACAAGAACAAGCCAACTAAGTTGCCTAAATATGCTTCTATCAAATTCCCCCACACTTAGCTTTTGCTAGTCCTCGAGCAAAACAAAACAACAAAAGAACACGAAACTAGAAAAAACGAACAAAACACAACCTACACCTTCCAACGTTGCCTCAGGGATTTCCAATGCACATGACATGTTCAAAATTCTTTATCTCCATAGATTTTAGTCATCTTCACACTTAAGTACATTCTTAATCATAGTCACCACATACTAGTTCACAATTAAGCATTTAAAACCATGTTTTGAATGTAGTAACATGCCTTAGAGAAATCACTTAATTCCTTACAAGATACTCTCTTATTTTCACACAGACTTTCTGATTACACACCCTACACTAAGTATATGTGAGAAGATTGATGTAAATATGAAACTAAACACTCACATATGTTTATAACAAGGAAAGCACTTTTCTGGAATGTACATAAATAAGATCTCATGAAAGGAATGCTACCAATTAGATGCGAGAACAAGGGATACCATATGCTTACATCAATTCCAAACTCCACATTATTGAAAACATAATGATCAAGATTGAAGTATAAGGATTGTAACGGGGTAAGGGTGATTGGCTAACAATGAAAGGTAAGGATAACAAACGTTCTTTAAGCAATAGCAAGCAAAGTATTGAAATTTGACACTTAGAATCACTTATGATTGCAGAAACTCACTTAGACACAGAAGGGGAAAATTCACACCTCTTAGGGCCATGTTCAACGTTTTGGACCCTTTCTTCAACTACCACAAACATGTGAGCTTATTTTCACTTATTTCATCCTCTTTTTCTTTCTTTTCACAACTTTTTCTTTTCTTTTTCTTTTTCCACGAATATTTTTTTTTTCATGCCTTATTTCTTTTCGTGGCATATCAACACACACACACACAAATTCCCCCACACTTGTTGTTTGCATATTCGAAAGGATTCCCTCTAAGTCATGCTTACTATGCTTCAAGAACAAGGGTATGGGTGGTCCTAATCTAGGCTAGGTGGGGATGATATGGGTAAACAAAGAACAAAGGCTAACAATGGCTCAATGGGGGTTATGACCTACAATAAATATATAGTGCATGGGTTGGCTGTTTGCCGTAGGTTCCCATGGTTGATGGCTTCACTACACACTTCATCTTGATATATATTATGCAATCATGCTTTGACTAGAATGGATGCAAGTTCTAGCATTTGGAACTAAATGATGAAACGCCTTCTAATTAGCAACCAAGCAAGAATAATGAGATCATGCAACGAGTTTGAAAACAAGAATCACATATTAATACTCTCCAAAGAATGTTTAAAGCTCAAGTCTCTCAGGGTTGTAATGTTTGTTTGAGTTCCTTCCTTCAAGCATGTTACAAAAACTAATTTTTCTTTTAGGATTGCATGTGAAGTCATACATTATAACCATAACCAAGCATATACCAAGAGTATATCAAACTTTTCTCCATGTTTATAACTCTTCTTAATAGTCATGCAATTAAAAACCAAATCCTCATCATTGTGTTAGAAGGTACCCTAAGACACAAACACACAAAAACGACTCAAAACACTCTTTTTAGGCTTTTCAAAACATGTTTTTCAAATTTTTATGTGATTTTCGGAGTTATAAAACAAAACACACTAAAACACTCCAAATCAGCTTAAAAACATTTTAAAACAGCAAGGAACAACACTTGAAGTTATGGGTGATAAAATCCAACGAATTTGCATCAACATACTTAGTTACCCCCCCCACACTTCAATCAAACATTGTCCTCAATGTTTTAAGCCTAAATTCACACCAAACAAAAGTAAACACATAAACAGCAACTAAACATACTAAACATGGCATAATGTAATAACAAAGAGAAGAGTTTAGGGATGCAAATCTGGTTATGGAGTGTAAATTCCATCTTCTCCTTGGTGATTGTATTGAGGCTTGATCTTGAGTTTGACTGGAAGATTTTCTGGTTTCCTCCAATCGTTGATTTTCCACAGGCTAATCTTGAACTGGGCTAGAGGATTCTGACACATGGCAGGCAAGCACGAGGTGGAGGTGATGACCTGTTTCTTTGTTCAATCTTTCCAAGTCATATTGAAGAGGGTTAGAGGATAACTCAGCATATACAGTTGTTGCGTTTGTTGACTATCCACAAGATTGATGTTTCCTTGTCACTCGACTTAGCTGTTCTCCAAGCAGATGTGGTCCCTTCTCTGGAAGTGTATCAACCGTTGAAGATGACTACTTGAGAGCAACGCTAGGTAAGCAACCAGGGAATAGATTCCAGGTAGTCGGTTCCAGATCGGAAGACTGACTCCAACTGCTGGCTGATTGCTCTCTTTCACTTTGCCATGCGAGTAATAACAAGGACAAAGGAAAAGACAGGGAAAGAGCATGATATGAGATACCTTTGCTTTCGCTCTTGATGATATGAGATACTTTTGCTTTTGAAGAAGCAGCAAATGAATCAGCACATATATTTGTTGCGCTTGTCTCCACATGCTTCGATCCACAGTTTCCTCCTACCTCATCTGTACTCCAGGCATCTGGTATCTTCTTTGGGGGTACATCAATGGTTGAATAGGTGTTCTCAAGGGAAAAAGAAAACTGAGCATGTTGAGAGGTTTGGTTGCAGCTACATTCTCGGCCGAGAAGAAAAGTCATGCGTTTCTGGATGTACACCTTGCCATGAATGTTGACGTATA